GTTTATGTTTTTCTACTGTATTTTTTCAGTTTCTGCTAATGTGTTTCTGCTCTGGTAATTTTTTTGTAGTGATGTTTTGATTCCCTTTTCATTTAATGTATTTTATAGGTATTGTCTTTGTAGATACCATGGGGATTACACATCATATCCTAAAGTTATAACAACCTATTTTAAATTGATACCAACTTCAATTGCAGACAAAAAACTCTATCCTTTTACAGGTGGTAGCTTTATTACTGATAACACAAATTACACCTTTATATATCATGTAGCCATTAACACAGATTTATATTTCATGCATTTTTCCTTTAAACTTTGTTTAAAAACGAGTTGCAAACAAAAGTTACAATACTGTTTTTATATTTATCCATGTATTTACATTTATCGGGTATCTTAGTATTTTTAATGGCTTCCAGGTGCTATCTTGTAGTGCCTGATATTCGGGAGATGGAAAATACTCCATCCCCAAATTCCTAGCTTATCTGTAATAAATTCCCTTTCACCTTTCATGATTTTTGCCAAAAACAGAAACCCAAAACATTTTCCAAGTGTATACACTTCCCAAAGATGCTAATAACAGCAATTAGGAGCAAATAGGATTTCATGTTCAAATTAGTTTGGATCATGCTCATATAAGCCAGTTAAATGAGAGTTTTGTCTTTTTTTCCCCTAAGTGTATTGTTTTGATATGCTGCTGTGCATTATGAGATGTAGGATTATAAGGCTATAATAATTAAAATGCAGACATGGTATTTTAACTCATAAAGTCACTCATTATATCCACATTTTATTATAGCATATAACATTGTTTTAATAAAAATATTTTATAAAAGATGATGCTGGGACTTGGTCAAATTCTCAACTGTTATGTTTTCTTAATGTTTATTTATTTTTGAGAGAGAGAGAAAGAGCACAAGCATGAGGGGGGAGAGACAAAGAGAGGGGGACAGAGGATCCAAGGTGGGTTCTGCACTGACAGCAGTGAGACCTATGTGGGGCTTGAACTCACAAACTGTGAGATCATGACCTGAGCTGAAGTCAGATGCTTAACTGACTGAGTCACACCCAGGCACTCCTGTTACGGAGTTTAGATATACAAAATCCAGAATTTCCACAGAATTATCTTTTGTTGCATTTCAAGAATCCCTCCCTACCCAAAACCTACTTGTTTTCTGGGTTTGGATAACATAGAATACTATGCTAACCAAATCAATGCTTTTTTTAGGAAATGACTAGAGCAAGAGTTGACAAACTTTTTCTGTAATGGGCCAGATAGTAAATATTATAGGCTTTGCAAACCACTTGGTCTTATCAGAGGTACTCAATTGTTTTGTAGTGTGAAAGCAGCCAGACAATATGTGAACGTACGTAGTTCTGTTTTAATGACTTTATTTATGAACACTGAAATTCAATTTCATATAATTTCATGTTATGTATTTTTTTATTTTATTTTAACCACTTTAAAATGTAAAACCCATTCTTAGCTTACAGGCCATACAAAAACAGTCAGTGGTCTAGATTAATTTGCTATCCCGATTTACAGTGTGATAGTTAAGGTTTTATCTAAGGTTTGAGTTCAGGTAATGGGTTCAGATTGTGGTGAATATTTGTATTAATAGACTGCTAGAATAAATTTGTACACTCTTAGTACTATATGACACTAAATTATATTTTTGTGATCTAATTATTTTGACATCAGGAATATGGAAGATTCACAGCAACAAATGGCAAGCTTCTTACTTCATTTGATTTAGAAATTCCTTGAATATTTGATAGATTTTGCCAATAAAATTATCTGGCCTGGTGATCTCTTTAAGTGGAGCTATTTGCCTACATTAAAACATTTTTCCCCCTGCATTTATCATTTTAGTCTATTAAGGGTTTACATCTCTTCTTAATTCTGACAAATTACATTTTCCTACAAATACCACATACTTTGTCCAGATTTCCAGACATTAGTAAATGTGATAATCTCCTAATCATATCCATATTTAATGTATTCATCTGTCCTTCTTTTCCCCATCAGAATTACCAATGTTTTTGTCTATATGTATTTTTTCTGTCAAAGAAATAATTTTATTTTCCTTGAATTATTTTTATTTTTACTAGTATCTTTTCTATATTTGAATGTAGCTTGCTGTTATTCTTGCTTTTAGTCTTGTACATTTAGTTCATTTATTAATAATCTCTTGCTATTTAAACATCAGCATGCCTAAAACCAGAAAACAGACTCTTAACTATAGAGACCAAACTAAGGGTTACTGGAGGGAAGGTGGGCAGAGAGATGGATTAAATAAATGGATGATAGGTATTAAGGAGGGCACTTGTGATGAGTACTGGGTGTTAGGAGTAATGAATTACTAAATTTTACACCTGAAACTAATATTACACTGTATGTTAACTGGAATTTAAATAAAAACTTGAAAAAAAAAATCAGCATGCCTATGGGCTATACATTATTTGAATATAGATTTAGCTGCTTTCAGGTTTTTCTATGTAATGTGTTCATTCTCATTCATTTAAATATATTCAGGGATTGATTTACTTCTGATTCATGTTACTTGGAAGGGTATTATCAATATTCAGATATGGTTGGCTATCATATTTTAGTTTTTCCCATTTTGAAAAAGAATGTGACCTACATATGTTCTACTTTGGAGGGAAAGTGAGTAAATATTTCATGTTTTCTCTGCTTTTTTGATAAATGAATTGTTATTCTCAACATGTAAATAGTTTTTGATGGGCATAAAATTATTGTGCAGCATGAAATATAGGTGTGAATGTAGTCTTAATCTTTCTTTCTTGACTTTTATATCCTAGGTTTTTTTTTTTCCTTTTTTAATAGTTGTTTGTTTGTTTGTTTGTTTGTTTGTTTGTTTTGAGAGAGAGTCTGCAGGGGAGGGGCAGAGAGGAAGAGAATCCCAAGCAGGCCCTGTGCTGAAAGTGCACAGATGCAGAATAGATCCCATGAACTGTGAAATCATGATCTGAGCCTAAACCAAGAGTCAGATGCTTAACTGACTGAGCCACCCAGGCACCCCACTATTTTTTGTTGTTGTTGTTTGAGAGAGAGAGAGAGCAAGCACAAGCAGGGGAGGGGGGCAGAGAGAGAAAGAAAGAATCCTAAGCAGGCTCCATACTCAGCTCAGACTTGATGTGGGGCCTGACTCCAAAACCCTGGGATCATGACCTGAGATGAAATGAAGAGTCAGACGCCCAACTGACTGAGCCACCCAGGCACCCCTTTTCCTTTTTAAACTTCATGCTGAATAAAGAATAAATGTTGGTGCGAAGCTTTTCACCAAACATTACACCCACTGGTCTTTCTCATTATGAATTCTTTGATGTCAATTAAGGTGTATTACATGGTTAACATTCTTTCTACAAATGATAATAATAATGGTGAAGATATTGATACTAGTATTAAAATAGCATTTGCTAGATAGTTACTATATGTTAGTAACAATCCCACCCATTTTACATTTCTTAACTCATTTAATCCTTGCAGCAATCCAACACACACATTAGTGTGTGTGTATATGTGTATGTATATTCACACACATATAAAATTACAAAGCAGCACTAACTATTCTACAAGTATTGAAATATTTAGGTATTTGGTTGTGTATGCACATATTTATAAACAAATATAGTTTTTAAAAAAAGGTCTGGAAGATTAAAAGACAAATTGGTATCAGTGGTTACAATGAGGGATATGGTTTACAAGGAGAAATACTGATCAGTTATTTTGATACTGAAACGTAATGTTTTTAAAGAAAACAAAACAAAATAAGATAGCACTAAATTTGTATTTAAAAGGCAATTTTTATAACTGTAAAATTTCAGTGAGCACCATTAAGTATGTCAGTAGTATTTAGCAAAATGATAATCTACCATAGAAAAGATTATGATACCATTAAAAATAATGATAAATAAATATTTATACTTACTGAAACAGTAGCATGATAGAAGCAGGTTATGGTACGGCATGCACATCAGATTACACTAAGAAAGCCTGAAAGGATATGTTGTAATAATATGAAAGTAGTAATTTCTGTTTGGAAGGCTTACAGATAATCTATTTATTTCCTTTGTGTGTTTTTTACAACATGAAAATATGAGTGTTACCAAAGGGAAAAAGAACAGAGCTGCCTTCAAAAACAAAGTTATAATTTTGCCAGGAATTAAAAGACAGCCTATGTAACAGGACTTACAGTGTAGTATTGGTAGTACCAGATCTATAGGTCAGAGCAATAGAAAAGATGGCTCTAAAATGAAGCCCATATAAACACAAATGTATAACCAAGAAGCAGAATAAAACAATGGGGAGGAAAGAATTATTTAAGAAGTAGTTTGGGACAGAATCTTTTTTGGAGGGAAGGCAGGTATAATTTAAACCTTGAATTTACATTTTAGAATACATTTAACAAGTTATGTATAAAAGAAAATTACAAATATGTTAGAAAAACAATGTTAACAGTGTTATGGGTTAAACTATGTTGAAGCCCTAACGCCTGGCACTTGTGAATGTGATCCTACATGGAAATAAGGTCTTTGCAGATGTAATCAGTTAAAATAAGGTCATCGGGGTGTGCCCTAATCCAATAGGACTCATGTCCTGTATGAGTCTCCTCTTAAACAAGACAGAGACCGATATACATAGGGAGAATGCAATGTGAAGATGGAGGCAGAGACTGGAGTTGATGCATTACACGACAAGGAATGTCAAAGATTGTTGTTATCAGAAGGCAGGAGAGGGACATGGAACAGATTCTTCCTCAAAGTCCTCAGAAGGAACCAACCTTACCAACAACTTTAATTTTGGATTTCAAAGCTCCAAAACTGTGAGAGAATACATTTATGTTGTTTTAAGTCACCCAATTTTGAGGTACTTGATATTGTTATAGTAGCTCAAAAAACTACTACACTGCTTTATTTTTTTTCCATTACCTATTTTTAAGATCTTATTATAAAGATTATGAACAGAGCTTATCTTTCACCCAGTATGAATTCCTTCATGGCGAATAAGGTCAGAACGACTACCAAAGGCCTTTCCGCATTCCTTACAGTCAAAGGGTTTCTCACCAGTGTGAATTCTTTGATGTCTAGTAAGGTTTGAACCTTTATTAAAGGCCTTCCCACATTCATTACATTCATAAGGTTTTTCATCTGTATGGATTCTCTGATGTTGAATAAGTTCTGAGCTCTGAATAAAGGCCTTTCCACATTCCTTACATTCATAGAGTTTCTTGCCTGCATGAATTCTGTGATGGTTAGTAAGTGTTGAGGCACTACTAAAGGCCTTCCCACATTCCTTACATTCATAAGGTTTCTCACCAGTATGTATTCTCTGATGTTGAATAAGCCTGGAGTGTTGAGTAAAGGCTTTCCCACATTCTTTACATTCATAAGGTTTCTCACCAGTATGAATTCTCAGATGTGGAAAGAGCTGTGAACTCTTAGTAAAGGCTTTTCCACATACTTTACATTCATAGGGTTTCTCACCAGTGTGAATTCTCTGATGATCGTTGAGGTTTGAGCAATAATTAAAGGCTTTTCCACATTCCTTACATTCATAGGGTTTCTCACCAGTGTGAATCCTCTGATGTTGAGAAAAATATGAACTACAACTAAAAGCCTTGCCACATTCCTTACATTCATAGGGTTTTTCACCAGTATGAATCCTCTGATGTCGAGTAACAAGTGAGCCACGACTAAAGGACTTCCCACACTCTTTACATTTGTAGCTTTTTTCAGCAGAATGAGTTCTCTGATGTTGAATAAATTGTGAGTTCTGATTAAAGGCCTTTCCACATATCTTACATTCACAGGGTTTCTCTTCATTAACAGTTTTTTGATGTGGAGTGAGGAATGTGGGCTGAATAAAAGTGGGCATGTCTTCATGGGTAAATATTACTTGACTAAAATGTCTCTTCTTTAGAGATAATATCTTGGTCTCACACATGGATTCCAGATCTGAAAGAAAATAAAAATGTGTATGTTCATTTATCCTATCTTGGAAAAGATTAAAACTTCAAAAAAAGACTAAGGTAAAAATAATATCTAGGAAAGTAAATGCTTAAACAACTCTCAAATACAGCTAAGCAATTTTTAAAACTGATAACGAAAGCATGGACATTGAGGAGAGCCAACAGGAAATTCAAGAGGGTGATTAGGGAAATAAATAATCTCTATCTTGAAATACTGATGTGAATCAGAATCATTTGAAACTTCTGTAAATACACCCTGTTCAGGGCCACCCTCTATTATATACAGTGATTCTAAGCATATATACATGCTCATAAGCATATATCCCTTACACACAGCATCATACTATATGTCTTGTAATTTGTAGACAGTTGTCCGTCCTGAATAAAAAGATTACTGAGGAGGGCACCTCGGTGGCTCAGTCAGTTAAGCATCTGACTTTGGCTCAAGTCATGATCTCACGGTTCATGAGTTCAAGCCCCACATCAGGCTTGCTGCTGTCAGCACCAAGCCTGCTTCGGATCCTCTGTCTCCCTCTCTCTCTATCCCTCCCCCACTCATGCTCTCTCTTTGAAAAATAAACAATTAAAAAAAAAGACTTGAGGAACAAATGTGTTGAAATGTATAAATGGGTGGAGGTGCAGTCAGAGACTGTGCAAAGGGTGTGCTGTTGCAAATTCACATTAGGGTATAGCCTACAGGAAGTCTAAGGTGCTGAATGAAATAGGCAAGAATGGTAGGCAGGTGATAGAGCCTGATATATTGGGGATTCACTGAAACTAGTTAGTCTTGACCACTCATGACCACATAATCAAACCCCAATAAAAACTCAGAGCAAGGATTAAGGGAAGCTTCCTAGACTGTATGATGTATAAGGAAGGTGGCATACCTTAACTACATGGGCACAGAATTTCCTATGCTTGGTACCTCCTAGAATTTGCCCTATGTACCTTTTCAGCTGGCTGTTCACTGTCTCTTTTATATAAAATGGTAATCGTAAGTACAGTGCTTTTCATGAATTTATGAGTTGTTCTAGTGAATTATCAAACCTGAGGAGTTGTATGAAACTCTAAATTTACAGTCAGCCAGGCAGAAGTATGGGTAGCCTGGGGATCCCAGTTGCAACTGGTGTCTGAACTAAGGGCAATCTTGTTGGGTACCTTGCCCTTTAACCTGTGGAATCTGATGTTAATTCCAGGTAGTGTCAGAATTTAATTGAAGTGTAAGACAGCCATTTGATATCAAAGAATTTGTGAAAGCCACAATACTGAAATAATCCTGTTCATTTCATCCCAATTTCACTCTCAGAATGCCAATAATAGGCTCATAACTCCCTCAATTAGTAATGAAAGTAAAAGTCCCTTCTGATGGGAAAATTATGCACAAGGGAAAAGACCAAATTACCAAAAGTGGGCAGTCCTCAGTATATTAACCCAACCAGATCATCCTAAAGTAAACAAGACCCAATCCCTACTACACAGAAGTTCCAATCATCTTTTCAGTATGTCATACTTAAAAATGAGCAGTAAGCCATTGTTTATAAGACATCTGAGAAATGTTTTTCAACATGAAAAGGAGCCTAAAACAGAACAAAGTATCTGTGAGGGAACAATCAATGCAAGGAATAGAAGAAAAGGTCAAAACATATAATGAATAACCTCAGAGAGATAAGAGAATTAAACAGGCATAAGATGCTAAACAAAGGAACACAAAGGAACACTAACATATATACACACAAAGTTCTTAGAAATCAAAAATATAATCATGAAAAAGTATTTTTAAAAACCCCAAAATTCCTCTCTAAATTCTGTGCACAAAATTCTGGCTTCCTTTCTCAATTGACCTTGGAGAAATTACAGAGAATTTGGTTTTGTGGAACTGAGGCAAATTATGAAATATCTTAGGGAGACTGAAGACTTATACAAACTTGTGTGTGTTTGAGGATGGAGCTACTTGCCTAGATAGATGGTAACAGGAGGCAAGGAGAGGCTAGCCTGGTAGTAAAGTCTTTAAACTCTGATTTAGCCTTTCCCTGAACTTCCTTGGGACCACAGCAGCCTATGTCTTTACCACAGGAATTGATGGCAACTCTGCTCAAGTTGCTGAATAAGTAGGATAACCTAATGGCAAAGAAAAAAACCTGTGGATAGAAGAATATGGCTGATCACCTGCTCTCAGGCATATGCTCCTCTACCTCCTAAGCTATTAAAACCCCCAGAGCAGGGCACCTGGGTGGCTCAGTCAGTTGGGAGTCCAACTTCAGCTCAGGTCATGGTCTCACTGCTTGTGGGTTCAAGCCCCATGTCGGGCTCTGCGCTGACAGCTCAGAGCCTGAAGCCTGCTTCAGATTCTGTGTCTCCCCCTCTCTCTGCCCCTCCCATGCTTGTGCGCTCTCTCTCTCTCTCTCAATAATGAATAAATGTTAACAAAAAAAAAAAAAACTTAAAAAAAAACCCAAGAGCTGGTGGATTACAAAAGGGAAAGCATACTCTTCTGTAGATGCTGCTGCTTTGTAAATGTTGAAAGATCAAACCCTGATAAGAAGAATTACCTAGAGGAGCAGTAGCAAATAAAAGTTATCACCAGTGAACCCTTAGGTCTTAGGGCTCATCATCCTGAGCTTATCTCCACCCACTTCTTATATCTACCTAGAGGGACACAGACCTGGGTCAACCTCTTGGCCCTACCCCAGGCACACTGCCAGACAAGGTGATTGATAATCTCTTGGGAACATGGACTCACAGGTCAAAATGGCCATACAACAGAGGGTACAACTGTTGTTGAAATAAGACTAAAACTACCATGATCATCTTTGACAGATACAGAAAAAGTATAGGATGTGGCCAAGACCTATTTATGATAACTCTGAGCAAATCAGCCCTGCAAAGTAATAGCTGTAACTTGGTAAAAGTTATGAAAGAGAGAGGGAGACACAGAACTTGAAGCAGGCTCCAGGCTCTGAGCTGTCAGCACAGAGCCCAATGTGGGGCTCACACCCACGAACCACGAGATCATGACCTGAGCCAAAGTTGGACGCTCAACCAACTGGGCCACCCAGGCACCCCTGAAGAAACTTCAGATATGGTCCCATTAGATCAGGAAAAAGAAATGTTACCACTACCAATGTTACCAATTAAGGCAGTCCCAGCTATTATTATAAGCAAAGAAATAATAAGTATGAGGATTAGAAGTGATAAATCTAATAATATGATGATCTAACTAGAAAAACCTTAATATGATGATGATCTAACTAGAAAAATCAAGAGAATAAAAAACTGCCAGACATTAAAGATCAACTTATAAAAATTAATAGTATTTTGAGTAACATCAGCAAGATGATGGAATAATAAGTGCTAGATTCTCCTGACCCCCATAATAAACACATCAACTCAATACCAATACATAGATAAGTTCCCTTTGTGAGAAATCAAGAAACTAAGAGAATCCTATATACTAGGCAAGTGTGAAGCCAGACATATTAAAACTAGTAGGAAAACTGGAGAAACCCTCTCTCACCATGATCCCTGTACTGGCATAGCGCCATAAAACTGGGAGGAAACCTCCAGCTTCCAACTTCTCCCTGAATACAAAAAAAAGTTGGAATGCAGTCAATGACTCAACTTTTCTAAGTGATGCCTAACTGACCATTCTGGAGCCTTGATTACACCTGTTATACCCTAGACTCCTGAGGACTACAGAGAACAAAAGTACTGGTTTGAACTAGTATGCAGGCACTCACCACAGCTCCTTTCCCTGCTCGATACAGAGCGAATGGGAGAGAAACTTCAGCTCTCAGCTTCTCCCTGGGGAAGGTAAGAGGTGGACCGTGTGTCAAACATTCCAACTTTTCTGGGGTTTGACTAAGGTACTGGCTTCTATCTCACCAGTCTTGGAGTGCTGATGGAACCCGGCAGATTCAAGATGTCTGAGAGCCACCAAGAATTAAGAAGGTAGTTTGAACTAGTATACAAACTTATCATAGCTCCTCCTCCTGGCCTAGTGCAGAACGAATGGATAGAAAACACTAGCTCCCACCATCTCCTTGAAGATGAGAAGAGTTGGACAATGCAACAATTTTCTAACTTCTCTGGGAGCTACCCAAGGTACTGACTTCAATCTCACCTATCTCAGAGTGCAGATGGGACCTGGCATACAGTGGGCCCCTGGGACTACAGAAAACAAAGGGGGCAATTTGAACTAGCATGGAGGCACCACAGCTCTTCTCCTAGTTTAGTACACAGTGAGTGGGAGAAAAAACAAAGCTCACAGTTTTCAAATGTTCCAAATTTTGGGGGATTACTTAGGGCCTGGCTTGTCTTAGAGCTGATGGAACCGGGCATATTCTAGACACCTGGGAGCCACTGAGAACAAAGATGGGGATTTGAACCATCTTTGCATGTAACACCTGCATGTAAACATTTGCCATAGCCCTTCCCCCCATTCCAGAGCAAAGCTAGCAGGCAAAACACTCCAGCTCCCACATTTTCTCTGGAGAAGGAAAGAAACTGGACCACACATCCAATGTCCTAATTTCTTTAGATGCTACATGAGGAATTGGTGCTTGTTTCAGAGCACTGATGGGACCTGGCATACTCTAGACACCTGGGGGTCACTAATAAAGACAGTGGTTTGGATTAGCGTAAAAGTTTGAGAGGCTGACAGAAGCTCTGACTGGTGAAGGTCTTCTCTTGTATGAGGCTAATACATAATAAATGGGACAAGTGGCATTTTTTTAAACATGTAGATATCAACACAAAGAATCAAGGAAAATGAAGAAACAGGGAAACACAATCCAAACAAAGAAACAAAGCTCCAGAAAATTACCCTAATGAAATATAAGTAGAGGAATT